TTGTGGATGGTCCACACTTGAAAAGGTTAGTTTTATGCCGTACAATTTAAAAAGATCTTTCATCAAAGTAGTGTCGAATTCACGTCCATAGTCACAGTGTATGCGTAATGGTGTGTCATAGTGTTGGACAAAGACAATAAGATGATTGACGACTGATTTAGCTGTTTTGTCTTCAATGGGATAGTTTGTGTGAATTTAGTGAGCTCGCCTCTGATAATTAAGGCGTAATTTCTGGTAGGGCATTCGAAAAGATCTATGTTAATTCTTTCGAACGATGTTTTAGGTGTTTCGGTGATTAATAACGGGTTACTTAAGTTTTTTCTATAGATCTTTACTTTTTGACAGATTTCGCAGTTTTTTATAAAATTTTCTACATCCTTTGCCAATTATACTTTTGTTTTATTCTTCGTATAGTCTCATTTATACCCCGATGGAGATTACTTTTACCACGGTGATAATGATCTAATATTTGGGGCATTTCATCCTGTTTCGGAGTTTTAATCACATCTTGACAGATTCTCAGTTTTATTTCTTTATCGGCAAAGATAAATGAAAATATTTCTAGAATTGGTAATTCGATAGGAAGATAGGTTGAATTCATTTTGTGCGATATAAACGATATATAATAGGTGTTGTACTACTGTTTCGGGATCAAAAGGAAGGGGAATGATAAAATATTTCCGATTTTTGACAGTTTTACTACCGAATATATTAATCTTTGACAAGGTAAAATTTATATTGTTTTCATCGAAGACGTCGTCTAATATTTTGTGATGTATTTCTTCCATTTTATTTTGTCTAAGAAAGGTGATGATGATGTTCTTATGCGATTTGTCTTATATTTGATCATTAGATATTTCAATTTTAGAATAATCAATGAGTTATTTAGTTTTATATAGTTCGACAAATCTTTTAAAATGTTCAGTGATTTCTTGTTGATTGATTTCATTTAGTTCTTCGTCAGATTCCGTATCATTCGAAGCTAATATTGATATTTTCTTATGAAAATTCGCACATTCTTTAAAATGATTGATTTTAATTCGAGAAAGGGCGTCCGCATTTTTGTTGGTTTTCCCGGTTTATAAATAATTTTATAATTGTACTCCTCAAGCTTGAGGCGCCATCTAACTAGTCTGCTTCCAGGGTCTTTTATAGAAAATAATCAGGTAAGTGGACGGTGATCAGTTACTAGGGTGAATTTTCTTCCGAACAGATAAGGTCGGAAATGTTTTACAGCCCATACGATGGCAAGGAGCTCTCGCTCAATGGTCGAATGTCGTGTTTCAGCATTACACAGGGTACGTGAAGCATATGCTATAGGTAGATCTTTTCCAATGGGGCCTTGGGATAATATAGCGCCCAAGGCGAATGCACTTGCATCTGTTGTGAGAACGAATGGTTCCTCAAAGTTTGGCTAGGTCAGAATCGGGTTAGAAATTAAAGCGTTTTTCAAATCTTTAAAAGCTTGCTGGCAATATGGATCAAAATTAAAAGCAATGCCTTTTTGTAGTAGTCTAGTGAGATGTTTGGAAAGTTAGCAAAATTTTATTTCTTCTGGTGTTTTCGGTTCAGGAAATCGTTGGATACAATCGACTTTTGAAGGGTTAGGCTTGACGCCATCTTGGGTAATGAGATGTCGGAGATACGTCACCTCTTTCCTGAGAAATTTACATTTATCAGGCTGGATTTTAAGATTAGCTTTTCGAAGACGTTTAAAGACTTAGTAAGACGGGAAATATGCTCGTGAATGGTAGGAGATATACTACAATGTCGTCCATGTAGACAAGACATCGTTCGTTTAAAATACCTAAAAGAACATTGTCCATGACACGCTGGAATGTGGACGGTGCATTTTTAAGTCCAAAAAGCATACAAGTAAATTCATAGTGTCCGTTTTCGATAGAGAAGGCTGTTTTAGGAATGTCTTTGAGATCGATTTCGATCTGATGAAATCCGGAGGCAAGATCGAGAGTTGTGAAATATTGACACTTTCCAAGCTGGTCTAAGAGATCGGAGATATTAGGAAGAGGGTATTTATCGTCAGTGGTATATTCATTGAGCTTGCGGTAGTCTACTACTACTCGCCATTTTTGTTCTCCACAAGAGTCCATTTTTTTGGGAACTACCCAAACGGGAGATGACCAAGGAGAAGTAGAGGGCCGGATGATACCTTCGTTGACCATATTATTCACTTTAGATTTTACTTCCTCTTTGTGGACCTGAGGATATCTGTATGATTTCGTAAAAATGGGTTTGGCGGTATTAGTTTCAATTTGATGTTTCATCTGACTGGTGAAAACTGGTTGTCTCCCTCTTAAGTAAAATATGTCTTCGTAATTTAAGCAAATATTTATTATTAGTTCTTGTTCTTCTTTATTAAGATGTTCTGTTCGAAGTCGAGATTTGATTTTGTGGGTACGGTCAATTGTATCAGGGCAATCATTTTCCAAGTTATCGTTTGACTGAAAATTTAGGATAGGGTAGTTCGAATAGGGTTCAATTACGATATCGGAAAAATCGATAATTTTGAGAATTGCATTTGCGTTTACTACGGATGTCAGAAATTCTCCTTTTTCATTTACGTCTACTAACGCGTTGGGGATATGGACTTTATCTTTTTCTTTTTTTATGCAAAATTGAATCTGTATTCGGACATTTTAACTTGAATATTTGTTCGGATCTGGGATCTATTTTTGATTAGGGGTTTCATTGTTACGCGAATTAGTTTCTACTTTGTAGACAGGTAATGTTTTAAAGTTTGTGATTAGTTGTTTGTTTTTGAGGTCTATTGTACACTCGTAATGTTCTAAAAAATCGAGGCGTAAGATTAGATCCAAGTCAATATCTATATTATGGATGAAAACTTTGTGGGTTTCCCACTTGAAACGGGATTAAAGTTGATTTAGTGACAAAAATCGTTTGGTCTGTAATACTATGTATGCTAACTTTTTCGAAAATTTTCGCAGTATTTTCTTTAAAGATAGAGATAACAGCACCGTTATCGATAACTAATTTAAACGTATTTGGTGCGTCTTTTCTATAGTACAGGTTTTTAGAGTTCACAGCAAGAAGAGGGCGAAAGTTTAGAGATGGGTTCATGTCGTTCAAATTCAGAGTTTGAATCTGATTCTGTATTTGAGACAAATATTCGTTCATTGAACTGGCATTGTGTGGTGGGTGGTTCTGGTTCGGGACTGTCAGAAAATCCTGACAGTCTTGGCTATCAACTAAATAGATTGATTGATCGAATGAATAATAATAGTACTGGTAGCTTTCATTTGGAGCTGAAGTATAGTAATTAATATAGTCAGACTCATAGTTAACGAAATAAGATCTGTGTCTATCGTTTGAAAAATTAGGATTCTTATGGATTACAGGCGTACTTGTGAATTGTTTTGATTTGGTGTGAATTAAGGTCTTTGTTGGTCATTAGGTCTATTGTTTGGAAATTATTATTTGAGCTGAAAGTTGGTCTCTGAAAGCCATTGTTTTGAGCTAAGTTTTGATGGCTATTAAAATGTCGGGAATTGTTCAAATTATGGGAATTGTTGGAATTCTGTGAGTTATTTAGGGAATTTTGTCGAGAACGACATTCGTTGTACGAGTGCATACGTCCACAAAACGTGCATCTATGTGGTTGAAGGTTTGGTCTTCTGATGGGTTGATTATTTTGATTGGGTTTTGCAGGATTGGGGATTAATTATCTGTATTTCGAAACAGGATAATTGTAACTCTCGTCTGATGCGGACTTGAGCTTCAAGAAGGTCTTTTGGATTACTAGCACGAATAATATGAGCGATTTTTAGATCGAGGCCGGTCAATAAGGTATTGAGCGTCATTGATTCCACTAATACAATTTGGGCCTGTTTCTCTACAGCAGAGATGTTAGATTTCTGTATATTAGCATGCGTTTTTGCATAAGGACTTTGATACGATTGAGGAATGTAAGAGCCAAGTTGGGGCGTGTCAACAACTTTTTGACTGTCTGTTTGTTAGTATTCACTTGGATTTGCTCTTCTTCGTCTATGGAGTCGCGTAGGTGGATACTGGGTCTTCGTCTTGGGAGGATCTTCCTCCAAATTCTGGCGAAGACTGTCTCTAGGTGTCCTGGTGGAGAGGACGGATGGTCATTGTCATTGGTATTGACAATTCCTATCTTGTATCTTCTCTTAGATCTGCATTTACATATTGCATAAAGAACAACAAGAGTCACAATGACGACTATTGTTAAAATCGTGAACCAGCTCAGATGTTTGTTGACGAATGGTTCACTGCTTAGTTTGTCGAGTTCTTCAGAATACTGATTGAGTTTGTGATGGGCTATCTCGAGGTCTTCAGTATTGATCTTGCTAAGTGGTTTTAAGTCGGGAAGATGGATCTTATCTGGGAAGTGTTTGCAGCAATTAAATGGTATTTGGACTATATATATATATATATATATATATATATATATATATATATATATATATATTCACAAGGAAACTAAGTTCCTGTAGCTGGCTCTAAACTATGTATCACAAAACTTTTATTAAAATCCTTTATAAAAGGTATATAATTAAAAAACCCAATCGGGCTATATCACAACAACAAAACATTTTCGGAATCCATATTCCATCATCAGTATCCTAAAAAGTATATAACCACTTTAATAAAAAAGAAAAAATGTGAAATTTAAATTTTGACCAAGATTAATACAAAATGTGGTTAATACTTAGTGGTTCAATGTACACCTAGTAAGTATTAACCTTGGTCAAAATTTAAATTTCACGTTCTTTTTAATTAAAGTGGTTATAATATACTTTTTAGGACACTGATGATGGAATAGTGCTTTGTAATTCTTATTAATTTATTTAAAAACATATTCTATCATTTACTAACAGATATTTATATTTTATGATATTTGCATATGTAATGTTTAAATAAGTTTGTATTTAATATTAGACATTGTTATGCAGCTTCTGCCTTTCTAATGAAAAAAATTAATTTTATTATCTTTATAGATGGGTCTGGTCTGAAGCAGGTACACAACTTGATTTAGAGACTTCCCTTGATATTGGTGGATTTGGGTATCCAGCTATGGCTGTTATTAACTCGAAAAAAATGAAATATTCCATTCTCCGTGGATCTTTTTCCAAGGATGGTATTTATGAATTTTTAAGGTAAGAAAACCAGAAAAAATTTTTCTTCATCATTTATGTTTAGAAAATAAAATCAAATTAAAAAAAATGTTGATTGGCAATAACAAAAAGTATTACTCTAAATAATGTTCAGTAATATAGATTTATTCTTTTCCTTAGAAATTTATCATATGGTAAAGGCAACACTGCTCCTGTAAAGGGCCAACAGCTTCCAAAAATAAACAAAATCGAACCTTGGGATGGCAAGGATGGTGTACTTCCAGAGGAAGAGGATATTGATCTCTCCGACATAGATTTAGATGAGAAAGAAGAGTTGTAAATGTTTTATATTTAAATTTACGTATCAAGTACTGCTGTGTAAGGTTGGATTAAATCAATTTCCAAAATATAATTTTTTTAATCAAAACCAGTAGATTTATAAGTTTTGTAATTCTTTATAAAAATGCTTAATTTTAACACCTTTCCTTCTCCCTACTACCGTCTTTTTTTATATCTTTTCTGTCTTCTATGGGTTTTCATCATTGAATACTTGGCAACTATTAATTTCTGTTTAAAATATAGAAAACGTGCTGATTTTTTTCCTGGAAAGCATTAAAAGTTAGAAAAAGTATATGTTGCGAAAGTACGCAACATACCTTGTTTTCCTTATCAAAGTGTTATTGGCACGCTGCTGAATAATGTCCGTCATCCAAAAATATTAAAAAAAATTACATTGTCATCTTGACGTTTTGTATTCGGCGTCAATTTTTATATAGAAATTCGTACCCCTTATATAGAAGTTCAAATCGTTATCGTATATTCAAAGTAATAAAGTTATATATTAGTAGTATAGTTCAAATCAAAAAAGTATAATCGTTGGTAGAAATCTAACATTCGTTGAAGTGTATAAAGACTATAATTTTGTGCAGTAGAATCGGCATCTTGGGATGTAAAAATGGTGTTCATTGTCGTTTTGGAACATAGCAATTATTGTAATACTAAATAAGTTGAGTATCAGTATATAGTGTGTCCTCTTTGTGGGAGCGTTTCTTTACATGTAACAAGTGGATTACCTGATTAACATAAGAACTAGCAAAACATCTCTAGACGTCTCCACGTCTAGGCCTTTGTCAAGCAAGGCAGGATACATCGAGGTTCTATTCCAGGGCCACATAGGTAATAATCGGAACACATACATCGGAACTGTAAGTGCATTTTCTCTCTTTCTTTGACATTTTTGTTTACGAGCTCTATTTCTCACGTTAAACTCGGCAGTTAGCGCATTTATTACTATTACATTACTATTTTATTTTTAGATGTTTTCACTGACACGTTCTTTAGATCGTACTCAATATTGTCTTGGTTTGAGTTCACCATATTAGTAGGAATTGTTTAGTATTGAATTTTCATTCAGTTTGGGAGTGGCTAATCGGCCACCCTACGGACGCACTTGGCGTTACGTATAGATTTTGAGTTGATCTGAATATAACGTTTAAGTTGTTTATTTAATCTTAATTGTTTGTTTTAAATTACCTGTTTTAGAATAGCCAAATTTATTTCTTCTGCATAGCTCATGTAGTGTTTGTTTATTCACTGTATTATAGTTAATTAATTTGATTTTATAATTGAATTTAATTCCCCACCTTTTTCACTTCCACCAAATATAGTTTGAACAGCACATCGTGAGATACAGCTGCTTTCTTCATCTGAAGGTTATCGGATGATTCACATTAGTTTTCCGCAATTTGATAATCATTGCGGACCCTAAAGTTTATGTTGACAGTGGACAAACGTTCCCCACAGTATATTTGACATTAACTGACAATATTATTGTGTTGATGTCATTTTTCCATAGTTTTCTTTTATCTTCAAGCACTCTTTCATATAAATATTTATATTTATACAGAGTCCATCAAGATACTATAGTGGGTTTACAGGAATGTACAGAAAAGACTTACGTTAAAAATCAATTGTGGACTAAATAATCAGAATCATCATCAGTTCGCGCTACAGCCCTTCGTGATAGATAAATAGATTTAGAAAGGTGGCCTATTCCATTCCGACCTTTTCAGAACTATTGCGGTCCTCTAGTCCTAGATAACATTCTCTAGCCTGACCCTTTTTATAAAGTCTAATAGCTTCGAGACTGTACCTTCCATGTAGCTATTTTCTGGTGGATTTTCTTCTAATGCAAAGAACCGCACATTTGCCAGGCTGTTACAATGACATAAAATGTGCTCTGCTGTTTCTTCTTCGAGATGACAGAATCTGCACAGGTCATCATCTGATAATCTCATCAGCTTCAAGTGCCTATGCAACTTAAGAGTGCCCTGTTTGAAGACCTACTATGGTTTTGACTGTTTTTCTGTCTTTGCTTATTAGGTCTGCCATAAATTTTGTAAATTTATGGCAGACTTACGAATGTTCTGTAATAAACTGTTTCGCCTGTCTTTGTCCTGGGGAATTCCTCCACCATTCCAGAGATGTGTGAGCTACCGACTTCCTTGTAGCCGTTCTTGTTACTGGCTTTTGCAACGCGATTCCGGTCCAAAGAATGATATTGACGAGCCTTGTTTGGCCATTTTATCTGCTTTTTTATTGCCCTTATGACCCTCGTGTCCCGGTACCCATTCTACCGTAACCTTTCCATAGTACCATAGTAGCTTTCTGTGTAGTTTTCAGAATGTGAGTATTCCATGTAAGCCTATGATCAAAGACACCCCAAGGTATTTTGTTTTTTTGGCAAATAAAATCTCTTTTCCTCCCAGCACCGGTGGTTTTAGGCCTAGTAGCGCTTTTTTTTGTGAAGTTGACGATTTGTCTTTTCTGAGCATTGACTATCAGTCTGTCTTCTTTACACACATAGTCGTAAACTATATTTAGGGCTGCTTGCATTCTCTCAGACATCACCTGAGCAAACCTGCCCCTGACAACGATTGCTATATCGTCAGCATATCCTAGATAATAAAAGCCTTCTGTGGACAGATTTCTGAGGAGATCATCTACCAAGGTTGCCCAAAGTAGAGGGGACAGAACTCCTCCTTGTGGACAGCCTCCACCTGCTTTTGCTGTGATGGTTACTTTACCCAGAGTTGAGATTACTGTCCTATTCTCCAGGGATGCCCTTATCCATCTGCTTATTACCGCAGGTGCGCCTCGTCTACTCATAGCGCCTATCAAAGAGCTGGTAGTAACATTATTAAATGCCCCTTCTATATCTAAAAAAGTGGCCATTGCTATCTCTTTATTTCCCATTGACTTGACTTTGTGAGCCCTGGTCTGCCTCAAAATATTCTTCCATCCTTCCTTTGCCGAATGTCTGTCTTCTCCATCCCCTTACTTCAATCTCCCTTAAATCGTTCTGTACATAATAAGAATAAAAAAATCAAAAACGACGGTTTCAAATCACCATACGGCGGTATAGTAAACGTGATACCAATTGTGGATTTGATCAATACTTAATGAATAGGTACTGCTTATATAGATACTTTGAGAAGTTCTCTAACTGTTGTATTGTGGCGTTATATAGGATTAAACTAAAATTGATTGCAATGAGAAGTAAATGTTACATATCTTTTGATTTTCAATCCGAAAAACGTTTTTAACTATTTTTATTTAAATTCTTTCATGGATTTTACTGAAAACATTTTTGAAATCTTAATTAACCTTTTTAAGAATTTATAATTTTTCATCGGTGTTACAGAAGTTTCATCGATTTTGCGGGACGTTTCTCTGATTAATTTTCATGAGTACTACTTCTCCTGACTGGAATTTGAAGGTCTTTGGGTTGCGGTAGTGTCCATTCTCAATTCGATCGTTCTTGATCTTTTTAAAACCACTAGAAACTTCATAACAGTCATCAAGCTGTTGGTGCAACTGCTTCACGATAAAATATTTTAACAGCATTGTTGATCGGACAGTCGCAAATTTTAAAAATGTAATAAATAGTCTATACCGAAAACCTGATATATTAAAAAAAAATGACAAGTACTAATCTCACCCAAAAACCTTCCTCCTTTATCCGGGCTTAGTTAAAAACCTTGACTTACTGAGATGTAAAACTACTAAGCTAAAATTAATATTTTCAGCAAAAAATAATTAAGTTTTCAGAAAATTAACTGAAAAGTCAACAGTCTTTATCAACACGCAACTGTATTAACATTATAAAGAAGGTTCTACGACATAACACTAAGTGAAATTAAAGGCCTCTATAAAAAACGAAGGACAAAAGTTTTGAAATTGCTAACTCCCTGATAAATTAACTTCCATATATTAGATCCAACTTCTCTACGCATTTGAAACACAACGAATGACGCAACAAATGATATATCAAAGAGACAAGATAAAGTAAAACTGAGAAATTACAAAAAAAAAATTCACGTAATTAGAAGACTCCATAGCTGTCTGAAATTGCTAAAATATTTAGATTTTATTTTTCTCGAGAATGAAACACGCTACACAAAGAGCCGAGATAACTGATATTCCAGAAGAAAGATTCAGTGTTATAGACTTGTCTTAGGTTTCTACCGAAACATTTATGCGTCGATTATCACTGTGGATCGAGCGGCATCGACTGGGTTATCACTGAAGGTTTTTTCTAGAATACCATTTACCAGCCGCGTGTGAGTATATGTGAGGGTAAATTTTGAATTGGGTAAGGAAGACAAATTAAACCTTGTTTTATTTAATATTATTGATGACTAAATAATAAGAAAATTGCGTCTAAAATGAGGAACAACAAAAGCTGATATAACTGATAAGTGATATTCCAGTTCCTACGTGATTAAAACACAACCAATGACACCAAAAAAGATATATCAAAGAAATAGGATAAAGTAAAACTGATAAATTACAAAAAAAAGAAAATTCACGTACTTAGAAGACTCCATAACTTTCTGAAATTGCCAAAGTATTAAGAAGATTTTATTTTTCTCGGGAATGAAAGACGCTACACAAAGAAACGAGATAACTGATATTCCAGAAGAAAGATTCACTGTTATCTAGTCTTAGGTTTCTACCGAAACATTTAGGCGTTGAATATCAGTGTGGAACGAGCGCCGGCGACTGGGTTATCACCTAAGGTTTTTTCTAGAATACGATTTACCAGCCGTGTTTGAGTATGTATGGGGACAAATTTTGAATTGGGTAAGGAAGAAAAATTAAATCTTGTTTATTTAATATTATTGATGACTAAATAATAAGAAAATGGCGTCTAAAATGATGAACTACAAAAGCTGAGATAGTTCCTACGTGATTAAAACACAACCAATGACACCACAAAAGATGTATCAAAGAAATAAGATAAAGTAAAACTGGGAAATTACAAAAAAAAAAAAGAAAATTCACGTCCCTACTTAGAAGACTTCATAGCTTTCTGAAATTGCTAAAATGTTTAGATTTTATTTTTCTCGGGATAAAAGACGCTACATAAAG